ATGTCCCGACTTCAGGAATTCAGGTAATAACTCTCTGAGGACTGTTCAAGACGTACATCAAATTAAAGATTATTTCATCATCCTTCATTTTCTGTTAAATTTTCTGGGGTTAAATCATCTAGGTGATCAAAGATGATCACCCCTAAAAGCAGGCCTGAAGCCAATCGCCATTTTGAAAATAGACGCCTACGCTCCACTGCAAAATAGAGGCATTTCAGGGCCGAATCATTATCCACATTTCACAGAAATACGAGCTCGCAGTCCTCTGCACGGCTTCAAACCTATTTTTTTAAAATCAAGTTCACGGCCTTCAAAATGCTCTAATTCTGAAGAATTTGAGGGCATGCAGTTCGTGATTTTGCCGGCGAAGGCAATTTCGGACTGATTTGCTGGCCTGCACCCATAAGCAGAAAAGGTTTTAAAACACAGTTTAAAAAATACATTACATTACGCAAAAGGTATTGAGATTATCCCAATTTTCAATAACACAACTTAGGACAGGATGTTTCAGGTGTCACGATTTCCTTTAAACGTTTTTCCGTGGCCAACTTCCGCATAACCTTTTATCCTGTATTAGCTAGAGTGATTTCCGGGGGGGGGGGAGGTGAGCGCATCGCATCGGCATGTTAGGTTTGACAATAAACAGGGAAAACTAGCGAGAAAATAAAGGAGGTGATTGATCATAGTGATATTATGGGCGGTCGAGCTTTCGCAAGATTTCTTTCGTTAAACACCATAAGGTTTAAATTTATCATCTGACAAAATTGTGAAAGTGCATGAACTTCAATAATAAGGAACTTGATGTAATACACTCTTGAAACAGCTACAGCCATGTTTGACTGGAAAACTGGCGAACCTTAATGGCAATAAAAATTATAAAACTTCCAGGAATTTATAGTGTTTTTTTTCACAATTCAGTATTTAAGGCAATTAAAATGCGTCGAGAGTGCACTTTGTAAGTAGGAGCTGAAATATTGTCAGACAGGAATCCCAAAATAAAAAAAAATCGTGACTATATACATGTATTTGCTCTTAGCTATATTATTGCCTGATTTTGGCCTCAAAAAATGTTGGTCCGAATCCGCATCAACTGTTCAGACTAGAGCTAATTCAGTGGTATTCTATGCAACATAGTACCTGGTTATGATTCAAGCACCAATATCGCATGATAAGTTTTCGAATAACCGTATGGGAATGAAATCATCATGGTCGGAAATATTTGCAGCGCACTGTTTTGGCTATACTGAGCACATTTGTGTCAATATCATATATATAAAAAAAATCAATCCAAAAGTTAGCAGAATTATCGTAAAGATTGTTTCAAACACTCACCGTGCAATTCTTGTTCGATCTTGCAAACAGTTCTCTCGGGTTGTCGTCTGAACGTGAGCATGAGCTGCGGTCGTTGTGAGGAGAGAGCCGGCAGCTTGTGACTTAAATATTGACGTCGATTTCCCGAGCAGTGACTGAGGAACTGGCATGCCCGGTTTGTGATTGGCCCCTGCGCGCTGTCAATCACACATCACTGACTCGCTTCATATTTGTGAGACGGAAATGATGCCAATTTTACATTGCCACACGTTAAACCCGAAGCTTTCATCACCGACACTCAAATAGACGCATCTAATTGGTGGAAAGATCGTATGAATGTCGGTGACACATTCAAATATATGGATTGTGATTGGCACCTGTCAATCACAGACCACTCAGTTGTGGTCACCGACTTGTTGGGTGACTAACTCTGATTGGTGGATAGAATAATGACGTACACCGGTCTTAAGTGATTTAATCAGTGTTTGTTTTGCGCTTCGTGATTTTAATAGAACCACGTATTTGGTGGCAAGTATATATCTTGAAGTCAGGTTATGCAGTCTATATTTATGATAGAAAAATGAAGATGACATGAATTTAGCTTGAAAAAAAAAAAAACTAAGATCGTGAATATACTGTGTGTGCATAATATCCGGTTCATGTACAGTTGCCGCCCTCTAACGGTGAAAATATACTTATTTTGCGCATCCCAGCCGATCCCAAAGCTAACTTTATTATAATCATTGGTCTACCCCCATTCACACGCACGCTCGGACAGACCACCTTCTCGGCATGCAATCGACCTTGCACCTTCAAAACCCCCTCTCTGCTTATTGAACACAACCTGTATACTAAAACCAAACACAGAAATATGCCAACCCTAATCTTGACCCTTGCCCAACCAACACCCAATCCCAAACTCACCAAACTGTTTGGATCCAACCCTATACAACAGATCTCTTTACTCAACAAAACCCCAACCTTCAAAAGCCCAATTACGAATCCCCCTAGGAACCCCGGGCCTGCCCCCATCGTCCCAGTGGCCTATCACGGTCATATTTATAATTATTGTTTGAATGTTCGAACATCCGTGGTGAAAAGTAGACACATTTTTTCGCCGGACATTCGGCCTCCGTAAAATCAAAAAGCGGCCGGGGGGGGGGGGGGAGGGTTGTGGTTAGGCTGGTACCATCTGTCGATGGGGGCGCTGTTTACAACCGACAATTATGAACACTATAACCGACAATAAAATGGTGCATTTCAGGGCGATACAGGCGTGCCATTAAAAAAAAGCGGCATCCGAAACGGTATAGCACACACAAAAGGGCGCCACCTTTTTTTTTTAAAAGGCACTAAACAAATCAAAGAGGGCACTCTTTACAAATTATTGGGTGGTAAGCGCTGGGGAAATAAGGGCATTTGAATGGAAAATAGCACTCTTTACAAAATATTGGGGGGCGGGAGTAAATCAACCCCCCCCCCCCCCCCCCACCGCTGCCTAAGCTTATGCATCCCTTTACCTCCTGACCACCCCGGGCAGCCTACGGTGGATCCCATATACCCCACATTTACGGTAAGGCGGCTTCGAGATGGGGGGGGGGGGCGTTTATTTAATGCCAGGGTGCTGTTGTTCTCCTTTTCATTAATAATTCCATCAAGAGGAAGTGGATGAGTAAGTCGATTTTACAACAGTTGTGTCGTCTGTTGTAGATCTTTTAATATAATCGATATTTTTTCCAATTTGCTTAAACGATGTATCAAATCAGCCCTGCTGGTAGACAGCGGCGTAGCCAATGGGGTGGAGTGGGGGAGGGATGGGGTGTAGGGGGCTTGGGCTTACACTTACCAGTAGAAAATAATGTCCCGCAGTCACCCCCGGAAATAATTAATTCCCATAAATGACCATGCGGTTATAAGGTATAACAGAAATTGCCCCCCTCCCCTTCCCTCCCACTGGAATAACATATTGTAACTCCACCAGTCCCCCATGGTGGGAAGTCTGGCTTCACTGCTGCTGGTAGACCGGTTCCACTTTCCTATTATATTATCAAGTCTAAATACTGAGGTGGGGAACCATGCTGTGTACACCGCAAGAAACGAATAAATGTCAGGTCACAAATTAAGTAAATAAAAGCTAAAAATGTCAGCAGTACCGGGTTATGAAGCCTATTTTACAAACAAAAGACTAAACGTGGGCTGATTGTTTTGGTCGGCGTCTCATTCAAAAGTGAAGAACCTTTGTAGCTCTAGAAATAAAAAAAAACTATTCCTCGGGGCAAAACTCGAGAAAAAAAAGACGTGGCTGTAATAAACTAATATATGTACTAGGTTAACGTGTTTTCGGTTGGTTTCCTAGGTCGATTTTATTTTTTTTTTAAATACCCATTGCTTGCTAAAGTGAGAAGGGGCTGTTTTGTTGTCTTATAAAATCATGACAACCAACCACGCCTCTTTTTTTTCCTTTGTAGTCGTTGTATTAGGGTTTTTTTTTTTTTTTAATGACAGGGCACGTTTCGACAAAATATCCTGATTATCAATATAAATATTGAGCTTTTATTCGTTACCAATAAAGCAAAAAAAAAAAATGGGAAAAGACATTAAAAATTAGCTGTATAACAACTGGCCATTCCAACCTTAAAAAAATGATGGGATGGCATAAATGTTTGCCAATCCATCACGATTATTTTCTCTGCACGTTACCATCCATTAATTCAATGAGGAGCTAAGTTGAAAACTGACATCAAAAATTGCTAAGGCGAAGTAAAAAAAAAAAGTTTCTCGTCCCCGCCCACTTTCTATTTGGAGGCCGCCTGGGTTGTTTTATTATCTTTTTTATATTTTTTTTTGAAAAATGCAGTAAAAAACACCGACCAAGTCCACGGTTAAAGCAAATGCGTCTAAAACTGTTCATTGTATAGACCAATGCAACTCTAAATGACACTGTAAATGTGTTCAGTTCTCTTGTCTAACTTGTCTTCCATTTTAAAAGTGTCTTTGAACAGTGCGAACACCGACAGTTGCAGGAAATTTCAAAATGGCGGCCATCTTGAGAAAAAAAGAAAAATGCCCGTCATCCCTTTTTTTTTCTTCAAAAACCAGGAAGAGAAACTTGTTTTTTTATTCGGACTAATATATTCGAAAACGATGTAGATCCATTGATCAATATACCAAAGCTACGGTTGTACGGGGTGTGTCAAAAAAAAAAAAAGCGGTACCCAAACCCCAAACATTATAATTCATATTTTTAAACAAATGTGTGGCACCAAACATAATAATGACCGGAAAGCCGATTTCATAAGCTACGTTTTGATGAAAAACATAATAAAATTGCTCAATCTGTTCAAACAATATCACCATTTAAACACAATGGAATTGACCCTAAAACCTCCTCGTCCAAAAATGCGATTTCAAGAATCGTCGTCAAAATTGTCTTCAAACATGCACCAGCGATAAAACCTCAGTTTAAAAGTTGAAAATATTCAACAAGGTCCTTTTGAAGGCCCGTTTTTTTTAACAAAGTGGAATTTGTAAATCATATTGTTTGCCTAACCAGGGCTGTTAATAAAAATATTGTGTACTGTTGTTGACAGTTTTGAAACAAGTATTCTGTGTCATTTTTGTTGTTCTTCCAAACAGTAATAATGCACAATAAACTGTTTTTTGACGAAAAGGTTTTAGGGTCATTGCGTTTAAGTGGTGATATTCTTTGAATGGATTGAGCAATTTCATTAGTATTTTTTTTCTCCAAAAGTAGGTTGTGCAATTGTCTTTCCAGTGATTATTACTTTTGATGTTACACATTTATTTAGATGTGAAATATATTTTTGGGGGTTTGGGTTCAGCTTCTTTTTTCTTTTTTTTGTACTCACCCTGTATTAAAACAAACCATATCAAGACACAAAATTCTACAATCTTGGCTTTTTTAGGTTCAGCATTGTTCATCTCAATATTTTTACTACTTTCAGAAGGCACGTTGATTTGTTTTGATTTTTTTTTTACACTGATAAGGTCAAATTATCAAAGAGGTCTTTATAAAACCTTTATAAGTGTGTCCAAAGCCTAACAAAGCACACGGGATCGTGCTTTTACCACGTGGAGCAGACTTTCAGCCGAAATGAGACAGATTTATGAATTTGGAAATTTTCAATCTCAGCTAAAAATATTTCCTTCTAAAAAACTATTATTTTCATCGTATTTCTATTGTTTTTTTAAAGTAGTTTTGATGTCGTGAAAACCGTTTCGATATTTTATGCTATACATGTATTAAAAATGTATCATTTTTATCATGCGTATTTAATTCATATTTAATTATTGGTTATTGTATCGGCAAAATGGAAAGCGAAAAGTTTTTTTTTTTTTGGGGGGGGGGGCACTGCTCTTGTATATTTATGCGAGGTGAAGATTAGTTAATTAATTAATTGATTCCGGGTAAAGGAGGAAGCCACTGAATGAGGTGTAGTGACTGGTGGGACTACTAAACGCCCTACCGTGCATGGTAACATACACCGTATCTCCAAGCTGCAGAACCAGCACCGCGCTACCAGACAACTGACCACGTTGATTTGATGCACCATGGGTAGTGATCACCTTGTAGTCGTTTTTAACAAGATGGATGTGAAGGTAACCGCTGTTGGTATACTTAAGAACAGAAAACGTAAATACGTAGGTGCCCGGCACACTACAGGTGAACGTGCCGGTCTCAAGATCGAAGCTGGTACCAGGCAGAAGCGTCTCGGTCTGCTGGAAGGGCAAATGGGTGTCGTGACTTGTAGAGTCATCTGGGCTGCTCGTCCTCACCACGGTGAATGCCACCCGCTGGTTTGAATCGTCTGGTGTCTCCCCTGGCTCACCCTTCTGACCTTTGACACCAGTTTCTCCGATTCTTCCAACGATACCAGGTATACCTCTAGGACCTATCTTGCCAGGCAGGCCAATCCCATCATCACCTTTAGACCCAGTGTTCCCAGGTGCTCCCCGCTCACCCATAGGTCCAATATGTCCAATCTCACCTTGCTGACCTGCATCGCCCTTTGACCCCGGCTGACCGTACGGCCCCATCGGTCCTACTGGCCCAGGCAGACCTGGTATGCCGGGTATTGCAGAAGGTCCCTGGCAGCACTGCTGACACACCTGAGACGCAGAACCATCGCCATCCGAGGGAACCGGCCCAGTAACGGAAGCTCGGAGCTTGAAAGAGTTACCCAGAATCAGGGCCGTTGACAGAATGGTAGCCACGCAGATCTTCATCTGTAAAGAAAACAACGAAGGGCCTATAAGACTAAAACAAAAATTAATAAGAAACAAGTAGAATAAAGAAAACATTTTGTTAAATAAACTGAATAATTTATCTAAAAACATGTATGACCACTTAATACTGTTGAAGAATCATTATTCAGACAATGTGTTCGGCGTGATAATTACATTTGCCCTGTCCGGGGGCAAGGGGCTATTATGTTATGAAAAGGCGGGTTCTCTTTTAATCGGTTTCCATGACAACTGTGGCTGTTGGCAATCCACATAATCGGGGTGGTTAGCCCGCTGATTAAAGTTAGGAAAGGAGACCCGAATACATCGGGTTTTTTTTTTTTTTGGGGGGGGGGGAGGACGGTGCGCCGTTTCTACGGTCATGATAGAATCAATTAAACATCTTCATACCGACCTCGATGGTTCGCTCTTAAAGACTTGAAGATCAGGTCCAAAAAGAAATTACAAGGAGATCAGTGTAGGCTGAAAAAAAACGAAAACGGGTAACGTTTATACTTAAGTAAGGAATGAAATAATGTTAACATCGATTTGAATAAAATTGCGAGGTTTTTTTTTTTATTTTGATAAATCATTATTCGAAAACAGGAAAAATTATACACTAATAAATAACGGACAAATGATTATTTGACCGGTATTTTCCTGACCGAATACGTTCAAAAAAGCAACATGCCTTTATTCATTATTTTGCTTTGTGATTTGTTTTGGGAAACTGAATGCTCCATTGCACCAGCATTCAGTTTTACCAAAAAAGAGAATTTTTTTTTAGGCACTAGTAAGTCATTGAAATTTTGTGAAAGCATAATTATGTGAGTTTTAAGACAACAAAGTTTTTCAATCAAATAGCTCCTTTTTCGTCCAATTGCACAGCTTTGCTCATTCAATATTTGAACACTTGCTTTCAAATACGCATAAAACGGGCAAGCATTTTCAAAGCCATTTGAATTTAGCGAACGATCAAAATATTTAAGGGTATCTTCAATATTGGCGTAAAAAAGTAGACAAGTGACGTTACTTTTCATCGAATTGATTGTGCTTTGGATTTCAGTCCCGCTCGGGAATTCAACTTCATGCATACGTTTACACAATGTTACACATTTTCAATAAAATCTGGCAATGTAGCAAGATCAGTGGCGGATCCAGGGGCGCCCTCCAACGGCAGTGACGGAAGCACATTTCCTCCCCAAATCCCAATATTTTGCAGCATTTTCCCAATTGATCATTTTTGCTCCACCCCCACTCTCATTAAATCAACAACAGTATGATTTCACGTTTCTTTTTATTCTCTTTTTGTTTTGCTTGTCAGGGGGGGGGGGGAGGGGGGGGGGGGCTTGCCCTAGCCCTTGCGACGCCCATGAAAGCTGATGCTTCAAACTTGGAAGTTGGACAGAAGCAGACGGCCCGAATAATTTGTACAGACATCAACTCTCTACATGATTTCTAGAAATGAATCCAACCAGTTAAAGCAACTTGAACTTGAATAAAACTGTGTGTGTGTAATAATGATCCGGTCCGTTTGTATTTGCGCCCTCTAGTCTATTCTAACCAGTGACACTTTTATCGCGCAATGCATGAAAGAATAAACGTTCAGGCCTAGTGATCAAACCGGAATAACGCACTGTGATCTAGTGAAATGACACAGTTTCAAAACAAAGTGCAAAAGGTATTGAGATTATCCCAATTTTCAATAACACAGCATAGAACAGGATGTTTGAGATGTCCCGATTTCCTTTATACGTTCTTCCGTGGCCAACTTCCGCATAACCTTTTATCCTGAATTGGTTACAGTGATTGCCGGAAATTGTAATCGCATCGCATCGGGATTTTATGTCTGATACAATAAAAAGGAAAAAAATAGCAGGAAAACAATGCGCGTGAATGATCATACTGATATTATGGGTCAAGTGTCGAGCTTTCGCAAGATTTCTTTGGTTAAAGACAAAAAGGTTTTAATTTATCATCTGAAAAATTGTGTAAGTGCTTGAACTTCAATAACAAAAAGGAACTTGATGTAATACACTCTTGAAAAACCTATACAGCCAGGTTTTACTGGGAAACTGGCGAACCTGAATGGCAATAAAAAATATAAAACTTCCATGAACTTAGTGTTATTTTTCACTTTTCAGTATTTGGGCAATTACTGTGCGTCGAGAGTGCACCATAGAAGCAGTAGCGGAAATATTGTCAGACAGGAATTCCTTATTTCGAACATATAATAAAAAAATCAGATAATTTGCTCTTAACTTTCATTAGCTGAAAATTTGGCCTCACAAAATATTGGTCTGAATCAGCATCAACTGTTCAGACTAAGAGCTAATAGTATTTACAACATAATGACTGGCTATGATTCAAGCACAAATATCAAACATTTACCGAGTTATCATCATGGTCGGAAATATTTATATCTCGCTGTTTTTGGCCATAAGCAAATTTGTGTCAATATTATATATCCCAAAATATCAATTCCAAAGTTTAGCACAACATAAATCGCAAAAGATTGTTTCAAACACTCACCCTGCTACTCTTGTTCGATCTTGCAAACAGTTCTCTCGGGTTGTCGTCTGAACGTGGACATGAGCTGCGGTCGTTGTGAGGAGTGAGTCGGCAGCTTGTGACTTTAATATTGACGTCGATTTCCTGAGCAGTGACTAGGGAACTTGCAAGCCCGGTTTGTGATTGGCCCCCTGCGCGCTGTCAATCACACATCACCGACGCGCTTCATATTAATGAGACGGAAATGATGTTGATATGGCATTGCCACACGTTTAAAGCTGAAGCTTGTATCACCGACACTCAAATAGACGCATCTAATTGGTGGAATGATTGTATGGATGTCGGTGACACAATCAAACATGTGGATTGTGATTGGCACCTGTCAATCACAGACCACTCACTTGTGGTCACCGACTTGTTGGGTGACTAACTATGATTGGTGGATAGAATAATGACGTACACCGGCCCTATGTGATTCAATCAGTGTTTGTTTTTGCGCTTCGTGTTATTTAAAGGAGCCACGCATTTAGTGGCTAGTAATTTGTCATCAGGTTATGCAGTCTACATTTAGATAGAAAAACAAAGGTGGAATGAGTTTAGCTTGAAAACAGTACTAAGAACTTGAATATAACGTGTGCATAATATCCGGTCCATGTACAGTTGCCGCCGACTAACGGTGAAAGTATACTTATTTTGCAAAACTCAGCCGTTCCCAAGGGCAACTTAATTCGGGCAATTCACAATGCAGTGCGCCACCAAGAGTTTGCCATGGAGAGTCCATTTTTCAAGTTTACAGTCTACAAAACTTTGCCCATTTGAATGAGTGTCAGTAGACAAGTTGATCAAATATGTTATGGATTGGAGCATATAGCGTTTTGCCGCCTTACGAAAAACACCATATTGATGAGAAGAAAAGAAAAGGGCAAACAGATCCTCGAATCATACGCTTACGAAACAACTGACCTTAAAAACTAACAATTTCAAATGTCCCGCGCTGCAAATTTGTCCACCATCTCCCACAATACACTGGGGAAAATGAACTCTCCGTGTTTTTGCTCTTGGTGGCGCACTGCATTGTGAATCGCCCGAATTATAACCATTCATCTATCCCCGACCATGGCCAAACCCAGTTGAATTTAGCGAACGATACAAATATTTAAGAGTATATTAAATTATATTAAAAACATTTTTTTTTCTAGTGGTAATTACCTTCATTTTTGTAATTGCTTGTTTAAATATAACTGTACCTACATTATCCAACTTTGTATTGGTTTATTGGAGAGTGCTAAATAAATGTCAACTGAATTGAATTGAATTGAATGTATTCATTATACGCGTAAAAAAAAGAGAAGGCAATTGACGTAATTTTGCATTGAATTTATTGTGCTTTGGATTTCGGTCCCGCTCGGGAAATCAATTTCATGCATACGTTTTAAAAAGGTTACACATGTTCAATGAAATCGGGTAGTTTAGCAAGATCAGTGGTGGATCCAGGGGTGCGGAGGGGGCGCACCCCCCCCCCCCGGCATTGACCGACATTTTCTCAAATAAGGCGAAATTTCACTTGAGAGAGCCCTCCCCCTTTCTCCGACACAATACATTCTCAGATTTGCCTTGAAAATATTGCTTAACAGTGTTAAAACAAAGCATAGATTGACATGACTTTTGATAAAGTGATATTGAAGAATGTACAAAGAAAATGTAAAATATCAGGGAAAGAAACATGAAACATGCATATCAGAACTTAAAGTGACTAAATGATAGAAAGAATTAATGTTTTGAGCACTCGCCCAAAATTAGGCCTACAACGAAATAAGACAGATTTGTTATTTGTTGTTATTACTCTGTGGAAATAAAAAGATAATGAAAAAGATATTCCGAAAATCATTCAAATCTTTTCTTATCTGGTTTACATGCATATCTCTCTTTTATTTCTTTTAGTTCTCTTATTGTTTGGGGTTTGTTTTGCGAAACTGCTTGTATGTACATAAACATGAACAACTCCAAAAAAAACATGTGCGCGTTTCTTCATTAACCAATTTGTAGAACCCGGGAAAATATGACTTGGAATCTTAATCTTGGTCACATTTCTATGTTATATACTTTCCCGGCCACGTGGTAGCCTTGCCCGGGGTCATCTTTCACTAGATCCTTGTATGGACCATGGTACATCCACCAGAGTGGGTGGGTGTCGACCTGGTAGAGGGGTTAAAATTGGCGGGAAGACCTAGTGTGCTTGTGCACATTTACATGGGCTTGTATACAATTTCACTGTTCATATAGGGATTGCATGGATCACCCCTGCTGACCAAAATGAAATAGTCAAATGACATAAACAGGGCAAGTCTGTGGTTTAAATGGCTGTTTAGGGTCTGAAGGATGCAAGGGGTGCTGGTCTGCTGGGTTTGAGTGCCGCGAGGCTCAAATTAAATAGTGGTATAAAAACATTCCATGCAACGGCACGATATATGTAGATTAAAGGGGCAGCTGCG